TTTTACAGAGAGGAAAGGAGAGGGATAGAGAATTAGAAACATGGATGAGAGAGAAACATCAGCTGCCTCCTGCACACCCCCGACTGGGGATGTGCCTGCAACCAAGGTACATGCCCTTGACCGGAATCGAACCTGGGACCCTTGAGTCCGCAGGCCAATGCTCTATCCACTGAGCCAGACCGGTTAGGGCTATATATATATTTTTATATATTTATATAGATTTTTTTTTTTACAGAGAAGGGAGAGGGATAGAGAGTCAGAAACATCGATGAAAGAGAAACATCGATCAGCTGCCTCCTGCACACCCCCCACTGGGGATGTGCCCGCAACCAAGGTACATGCCCTTGACTGGAATCGAACCCGGGACCCTTCAGTCCACAGGCTGACGCTCTACCCACTGAGCCAAACCAGTTAGGGCCACATGGTTAAATTTTTATGTGGGAGGCTACTTCCCAAGTCAGGGAGTCGTTTGTTTTGATAAATAATGCCAAGGATTCTGCAAAGAACCATCCCGGATTTCACCTCCCACAGCAGTGTACAGGAAAGTAGTGTGATGTCAGTAAAATGAATACAGTCCCCCCCCCCCCCTTATCCACAGGGGATACTTCCAGGACCCCCATTGGATGCCTGAAATCAAGCATAGTACTGAACCCCTTTATATGTTTTTCCCTATACATATTTCCTAAATGTAGCGTGGATATGCTGAACAAAAAGATGATTCATGTCCTGGGTGAGCTGGAGCAGGTGCAGTGTGAGACTTCATCCTGCAATTTAACTGATGAATTACTTCTGGACTTTTCCATTTAATACTTTCAGATGGTGGATGACTGTGGGTAAAAAGGAAAGCGAAACCACCCATAAGGAGGCACTAATGTTCTTACTTGTTGAGCAATATGTAATAGCCAATTTTTACATGAATTCCCCCTTGAGGGCCTAAGTATTGGCCAGTGTAGTATTCCCCCTTGTAGTCTGGGTGGCCGCCTCGGTTCTCAAACTGGCGCGAGCACCACAGTATTTCCTTAAATAAGCCAAGTGCCGCCATGTCCCCAAAGTCAATGATTCACAAGGTCCCCATGGACCGCTGAGGCGGCTTTTCCCACAGGTTCCAGGGTCCGGCGGACAGCTTGATCCGAGGGCAGGCCTTGCCTCCGGGCTCACGGAAATTTGGGTGTTTCTTTAAAATACAGTTTTTAATTGATTTCAGAGGGGACGGGAGATGGAGAGAGAAAAACATCACTGATGAGAGAGAATCAGTAATTGGCTGCCTCCCGCGCACCCCACACTGGGGACCGAGCCCGAGCCCTAGCCCTGACCGGGAATCCACCTCTAACCGTGACCTCCCGGCTCCCTGGAGGCTCCACCACGGAGCCACGCCCGCCCCGAGGCAGGTATTGGGGTGTTTTCAAGAGAAAGCGAAACCCCGCCCCTGTGTTTGGAAACGGGACTCTGTATTTCCGGTCTGTGTCAGCGGCGCCGCGGCGGGTTGCCATGGAGAAGAAGCGGCGCATGCGCTCGGAGGTGCCACAGACCGCATTGCCCAGAGGCGGGACCATTGGGGGCGCAGGAGAGGGGCGTTTCCTGCGCCCGGGGGGCGGGACTTCCTGTCCACTTCCGGAGTCCTTCGCTGGT